ATAGAGGAAGGACCTATCAGGCCTACCAGAGCAGCAGGTCCCTGTCTTCCCTCATAAATTCCTCCAGACCCCCTCTCCACAGAGCATCTCCCATCCTAACTCTTCCAGACCTTCTACTCCTCTTTCTGAGCTTCCCTCTATCTCTTAACAAAAGCATAAACATAAGAGGCCTTAACAGGTTTTAAACCTGCTTTAAAAGCCCCCAAAAACAGCTTTAAAAACCCTAAAAAAACTGCTTTAAAAGCCCCCAAAAACATCTTTAAAACCCCCCAAAACAGTTTTAAAAGCCCCAAAAAACGTTAAACGCCCCCAAAATCATCTTTGAGATGGAGGAACGAGCCACCAGAGCAGCAGGTCCCTGTCTGTCTTCATAAACTCCTCCAGACCTCTGGACCCTCTACTCCTCTTTCTGAGCTTCCCTCCATCTCCTCCTGTCTCCTCTGACTCTGACTGGGTTTTTTTTTCTCCAGAGAGCTGATTGTCAAACTGACGATAACTGGAACGTTGTGTCTTTTTTGTGAGTCTCTTTGGATAAAAACGCAGAAACCCTCTACCTGGGGGCCAGGCTCAGCATGGTGGGGATGTCGTTCTCCGTGGAGTAGTCGAAATAAACCGCCATGTAGCGGTTCGGCTCCTGCTCCCCGCTGTTTTCGCCCTGCTTGGCCAGCCTCAGCTTCTCCGCGATCATGGCCACGGCCGCGATGAACTGGTCGCCGTGGGAGACGCCCGTCGGGGGGCTGCTGCTGCTGCCGCGCCGGCTGACCGGCGTCTTCCCCCTGCGGCTCTTCCTCTCCACGTAGTATCTGCAGGAAAAAACGGCCGGGAGGATTAGAGCAGCACAAAGGCAGAGCGTGGCTGTTTGGGAAAGGTTTAGAGGCTCTTTTTGGCCGGAGATGATGGTTTTCTTTTCTTTTGTCATAACAAAAAAATCTTATGAAACACGGTGTTTTACGTAGGCCAAGGTTTTTCAGCTTGGTTGAATCTACATTTACACTCATATTTACAGAAAGATTTATAATAAAGGGAAGTAAAAAACTACAGATTCAGTGTATGATAAGTCTATATACTAACATATACTAACTAAAATTAACTCATTTTATAATACGTTAGATTGGTTTAGATTCAGATATACTATCAATACGAGTTTAATATAAAAACTAACAAAAGGAAAAGATTCAGAACACACACATGACAGAAAATAATCAAGACAAAACATGACTTGGAGATCTAAATGGAGAAAGAAAAAGGCCGTACAGTACAGAGTCTTGGAGAGGAAAAGGCACAAAGGACAAAAATCGGGGACAAGTGATGTTAAGAGAAGACCGAATATAACAAGATACCCGCCAGTCCAGCTTAGAAAATAAACAATTATTTCTTTATCCAGATAACCACCTTGACAGTTTTATCATTTAATTATATTTTTTAATGAGTTGTCGAGATCTAGTTTTTATTGTGACCTTATTATATTGAAATTATTTCATTGTGTTTTCATTATATTTGTTTCGACCTGTTAAGATTTTTCGTATTTTCTATATTCAGCACTTTAGTCAACACCCAACGTTTACAAAGTTCTCGATGAATAAAGTTGGCTTGAACAGCCAAATACATAGTGAATAGTTGACTGTTGGCATGGAGCTCTTCATGTAATTTCCAAAAACAAAATCAGATTTTAGCAGCATCTAGTGGACAACAAGAGAACTGCAGTAAAAAGGACTTCTATCATCATTACCATAAGATTTGTGGAGCAAATGTCCTTACTTTTAAATAAAAAGTGATCCCATTGAAATAAATCTCATGAATATTAACAAGAATATGAGGAGGAGGTATTCAGTTTTTCCATGAAATGAGGCCTCAGATGAAGATCAATGAAATCCCTTCATATGGTACAGTACAACATTTTTTAAAATCAATGTTTCCATCTTTACTTGCCATCTAACTGTTATCAACAGGGGATTTTTTTTTGGCAATGCTTCGGCCCACGTTGAAATCAATACCAAACATTCACATGAAAAAAGAGTTTTGATTGATCGGAACGATCCGACGCAAGTAGACGTAAAAACTCTGCAAAGACGGACACACAACAACCCTTTGCTCTGGAAATCATTAGAGATTCCAGTATCCATCTTAGTGTCTTCGCTCTGTACAGCTCAGCCATTGTGATGATTCACATCGCTAAACTCCTCTTTTCTCCCATCGTTTGGAAAAAGTCGGCTTAATCAGTGTCCTGTAGGAATGCGATGTACAGTAATGTCTTTTGTCTTTTTTCCTTCCATCAATTAAGATGGAATGGTGGAATCGACCTATGACCTTTAAGCCAGGTCCTGCGATTTGGAAGCAGTCAGCACATTTATAACACATTTATAACACATTTATAACACATTTATAACATCACCAGATAAGGGACCGCAGGCTAAGACCTGAGCACAGCGAATAACAAGTCGGCGTGCGCAAATATCCGAGTCAGCAGGAAAAGGCCCGCCGTTGTGCTGCTTACCGGAGGCCTTTGGAGCAGACGATGACGATGTGGTTGGCCTCGTCCAGCTGCCTGCTGAGCCACGCCATCTGACCCTCCTTGCACATCTCCAGATGTTCCCACAGGTCCAGCACAACCTGGGTCACAGTAAAAAAAACCAGAGGCCTTTTACGCTACGTGGTGTTTTTGATTGGTCGTCCCCGCTTTTTGTGGGACGGCGGCCTGGCCTCACCTCACAGCCGCAGAAGTCCTGCAGGAAGTAGGCAAAACTCTGGATGACGCTGGTGTGCTTGGGGCAGTCCTTGCTGGAATAGCAGATGAAGACTTTGGGGCGGGGCCAGGGCCGCTCGCTGTTCAACGCCGCGCTCTGATTGGACGACTCGCTGCTCTCCTCATCCAGGTGACTGTAAATGTTTTCTGGAAGCAGGAAGTGTTCAGATATTTAGAGATCTACGAATACATTTACCATTTAAATGTCCATCCATCTTTCTACTGCATCTGACTAGAGAGTAGGTGAAACCTTCAGATTAATATTCTCATTACCCCGAATGTCTAAAAATATGAAATCAGTTCATTTCTGAGACCATTTTCCTGACTAAGTCTACAAAAAAAAAGCCGAAAAATTAATCATACTTATTCTGATAAGAAGGGAAGTCATATGTTATGGTTGAGAGAAGGAGCTCCATCAGCTAAATGAAAGCCCAAACATCAAGGAAGGTCCTCACTGTTAATCTATTTTGCAGACTAAACCTTAATCAGAGGATTGAAAGAGTTAAAACACTTCCTCTCAGCCTCGTTTTGGATTAATGTCTCCAAGTAGCAAACAGGCTTATTTAAAATGAGACGGCTTTTTGCTCACCTTGCTGCTTTTTGCGGCACATGACGGTGAAGAGGGTTGCGAAGGCCGACATGATGACCAGAGGCACTGTGATGGCCATTGCCCGGATAGGCCCCGCCCAGGGGGAGTGCACTAGGGGAGAAATCCACACACACACACATCATGAGAGGAACCAAATATGGCTGCCGGAGCTCGTCTGTGAGCCGTTTCTGGTCATATTCTGGTCATATTCTGGTCTTATTGTGAGACGCATCTGCAGCTGTAAGCTGGAAAATTTCAATCACTACACAGGGCAAAATCTAGAAAAAATAAATAAAGATGAACAATAAATAAAAACGACTTTATCTGAGAAGGAAAAGATGTGAAAAGTAACTAAGTCCAGAAAAGCCTCTCCACCATGAACTCCACTTAAATTGAACCTGTGAGTGGATCTGTCCACAGTGACCACACCTGGTTATGAAAACACATGGTGCGGTTTTAACTGATTCAATTTAAAGAATGCTTGTGAGCTGCCCCCTCAAACTGCTTTATGGATTTCTCTGCTGTTGGTTTTGCGTGTACGAGGCTCACCTTGGCTGACATAGTACTGCGTTTGCCTCCTGGTTGTGTTACGGTCGTCTCTGAGCTAAAAGGGGTTCAAAGAGTATTTTAAAACAATGTTTAAACACACAGTTCAGCGTAAAGAGACATTATTTTTAGATGCTTATAAAGTGCAAGTAAGAAAAGCTAAAATCCATGCTGCATTCATGTACCTCTATAGCGTAGGTTCCTGGAGTGACATCCTGGAGGATGCATGTTGTCCTCACCTGGTTTGGGTCCTGTGAACAAATAAATGAAAACGTTGACAAAAATCAGCTGAAGACTCATTTTAACTTGCAGCTTTTCTGCAGAAATTAAAATTAACAAGGACTTTTCCTTTTTATTTCCTCTGTAATTTAGAGTGGGTGAAAGCGAGAAGTCAAATCCACAACTTCTCTTTTGAGACACACATTTAGAGCTCCATATTAAAAAAACAAAATGCAACAGCAGTTCAGTTTCTGAGACAATCATAATCTAAACAAACGCAACACGTAAATTCACTTTCCGCCAGAGGAGGCCCGTTCAGTTTTACACATGGAAGGGTTTCCACATGAACTAATGTAGCACCGCGAACGCCTCAGGGGAAACGAGAGAAAAAGTGTGCTACGTTATCCCCCGTTTGCATGAGTCATGGTCGTGAGACAACAAAGACATGAAAAGAAAGTTGCTGGAGAAACATCAAGGAGAACACAACCACGAGGGGGCTGTAACAAAAGCCTTTTCAAACCCTCCTCCAGCGAGGACACGAACAGGTAGAGGCCACAGACGTGATGCGATATGTGGGCCAGACAAAAGTCTCTCCCTATTAGATAAAAATCAAACGTCTTTTATAGTCGTTCCAAATGACCGCAGTGGGAGGAGCTGGAGGCTGAATTTCATCGAAAGGCTGGGGAAGAAAAGGTTGAGTAAAGCCACATGTTTACCGACTCTGTGGGGAGGTAAGATGAAAAGTTTCCATATGAGGAATAACAACCAACAGATGAGAAACAAACCAAAAAAAAAGAAAAAAAAGAGAGCAGATGGCCTATCGCAGTGTAAAGAAGGTGTAAATTAGAGAACATCACTTTGACGCCCAAAGACTGGATGTCGAGAGGATGCTTGACCTGGTTTGTAATCCTGAACTAAAGCAGAGGTTCTAGGAGGAAAAACACAAAACACGAGCAGAGAGTTTGCAGGTGATGATTTTGTGTGTCGGACTAGTTTGCGTGTGTGTGCTCCAAACAGCAGCTCAGATTACCCAGCATGCCTTTGGGTTTAAGGCTTTAATGCCCACACAGAGACAGAGACACCTGGAGGGGTCCTGATCACTACACGAGTTCTGGATTATCTGCTAGAAATACCCAGGTAAAAGTCAAGAAGGCTTATAGATGTACATAACACGAGGTTAATGAGTGATTTTGCACTTGCATCAGACCTCTTGAGTTGGTTCTGGAGGCAGGGAGGTGGTGAAACCAAATGAGTAGCGAAGCTGAGCTGATCTGGACGAGGGGTCGAGATTTTGTTCAACACGCATAGATACGACTTTACAGAGTTGTCTAGACTTAACCCAACGTCCAGCATACAACAGGAGCTCTGACCAAATGTTCGCTTTTCAGGGTGGTTTGAACTGAACAAACAAGCCTTATATTTTAACTCCATCCATCCATCCATTGTCCTCCGCTTATCCGGGGTCGGGTCGCGGGGGCAGCAGCCGGAGCAGGGAAACCCAGACTTCCCTCTCCCCGGCCACTTCGGCCAGCTCCTCCGGGGGGATCCCGAGGCGTTCCCAGGCCAGCCGGGACACATAGTCCCTCCAGCGGGTCCTGGGTCTTCCTCTGGGCCTTCTCCCGGTGGGACGAGCCCGGAACACCTCCCCAGGGAGGCGACCAGGAGGCATCCTGATCAGATGCCCGAGCCACCTCAACTGGCTCCTCTCCACGTGGAGGAGCAGCGGCTCTACTCCGAGCCCCTCCCGGATGGCCGAGCTTCTCACCCTATCTCTAAGGGAGAGCCCAGCCACCCTGCGGAGGAAACTCATTTCGGCCGCTTGTATCCGCGATCTCGTTCTTTCGGTCACTACCCAAAGCTCGTGACCATAGACGAGGGTGGGAACGTAGATCGACCGATAAATTGAGAGCTTCGCCTTTAGGCTCAGCTCTCTCTTCATCACGACAGACCGGTACAGCGCCCGCATTACTGCAGACGCCGCACCGATCCGCCTATCGATCTCACGCTCCCTACCCCCGTTCGCGAACAAGACCCCGAGGTACTTGAACTCCTCCACTTGGGGAAGGACGTCCGCTCCGACCCGGAGAAGGCACTCTACCCTTTTCCGGTGAGAGACCATGGTCTCGGACTTGGAGGCACTGATCCTCATCCCAGCCGCTTCGCACTCGGCTGCGAACCGCTCCAGTGAGAGCTGTAGGTCCCGACTTGATGGAGCCAACAGGACCACATCATCTGCAAAAAGCAGAGATGCGATCCTTAGGCCACCAAGACTGACACCCTCAACACCTCGGCTGCGCCTAGAAATCCTGTCCATAAAAGTTATGAACAGGACCGGAGACATAGGGCAACCTTGGCGGAGTCCAACTCCCACCGGAAACGAGTCCGACTTACAACCGGCAATGCGAACCAGACTCTGACTCCGGTCGTACAGGGACCGAACAGCCCGTAACAAAGGGCCAGGTACCCCATACTCCCGGAGCACCCCCCACAGGATACCCCGAGGGACACGGTCGAACGCCTTCTCCAAGTCCACAAAACACATGTGGACTGGTTGAGCGAACTCCCATGCACCCTCTAGGACCCCGCTGAGGGTATAGAGCTGGTCCAGCGTTCCACGGCCAGGACGAAAACCACCCTGTTCCTCCTCGATCCGAGGCTCGACTATCCGACGGACCCTCCTCTCCAGAACCGCTGAATAGACCTTCCCAGGGAGGCTTAAGAGTGTGATCCCCCTATAGTTGGAACACACCCTTCGGTCCCCCTTTTTAAATAGGGGGACCACCACCCCAGTCTGCCAATCCAGCGGGACTGCCCCTGATGTCCACGCGATGTTGCAGAGTCTCGTTAGCCAACGCAGCCCCACAACATCCAAAGCCTTAAGGAACTCCGGGCGGATCTCATCCACCCCCGGGGCCTTGCCACCGCGGAGCTTTTTGACTACCTCGGTGACTTCAGCCCCGGAGATTAGAGATCCAAACTCCGGATCCCCAGGCTCTGCCCCTCCAACGGAGGACGCGCCAGTGGGATTGAGGAGGTCCTCGAAGTACTCCGCCCACCGACCCACAACGTCACGTGTTGAGGTCAACAGCACCCCATCCCCACTGTAAACAGTGTTGGTGGGGCACTGCTTCCCCCCCCTGAGACGCCGGATGGTGGACCAGAATCGCCTCGAGGCCGTACGGAAGTCTTTTTCCATGGCCTCCCCAAACTCCTCCCACGCCCGGGTTTTTGCCTCGGCGACCACCCGCGCCGCACGTCGCTTGGACTGCCGGTACCCATCGGCTGCCTCCGGAGTCCCACAGGCCAAAAAGGCCCGATAGGACTCCTTCTTCAGCCTGACGGCATCCCTCACCGCCGGTGTCCACCAGCGGGTTCGAGGGTTGCCGCCACGACAGGCACCGACAGCCCTGCGACCGCAGCTCCGGGAGGCCGCGTCATTGATGGAGGCGCGGAACACGGCCCACTCGGACTCAATGTCCCCCGCCTCCCCCGGAACGTGTTCGAAGCTCTCCCGGAGGTGGGAGTTAAAGCTCCGCCTAACAGGGGACTCCGCCAGGCGCTCCCAGCAGACCCTCACAACACGTTTGGGCCTCCCGGGTCTCACCGGCATCCTCCCCCACCATCGGAGCCAACTCACCACCAGGTAGTGGTCGGTGGAAAGCTCCGCCCCCCTCTTGACCCGAGTGTCCAAAACATGCGGCCGCAGATCAGCTGAAACGACAATGAAGTCGATCATTGAACTGCGGCCTAGAGTGTCCTGGTGCCAGGTGCACATATGGACACTCTTATGTTTGAACATGGTGTTCGTTATGGACAATCCGTGCCGAGCACAGAAGTCCAAAAACAGAACACCGCTCGGGTTCAAGCTGGGGGGGCCATTCCTCCCAACCACGCCCCTCCAGGTCTCAC